GACTTTCTCTATTTTATGATCCCACCAGTTTTTGCTTACAGGCAAATGATATTTTTTGCAGATCTTCCAATGCACCATTGTTGCTACTTTGTCATGCCGCTGCTTGTAATCAGTCTGTGCAATCTTCTTGCAACAGCTTACCAGGTGGTCCACTGTTTCTTCAGCTTCTTTGCATAGGCGGCACTTACTGTCTGTTGCTGTCTTCTCAATTTTGACTTTGTATGCATTTGTCCTTAAGGCTTGGTCTTGTGCAGCCAGAATTAGTCCCTCGGTCTCTTTCTTCAATTTTCCTGCTCTTAGCCATTGCCAGGTTTTATTATTATCTGCTTTCCCAGCTATTTTTTTAATGTATTGGCCATGTAGTGCTTTGTCTTCCCATGCCTCTATTCTGTTCTTCATTTGGTCTTTCTTGTAGGCCAGTTTGGTCTCTCCAGTAGTTAGTAAGCCTTCCTGATATACTAATTTCAGTGCATCTTCATCATTGTTCTTCAGATATTCTTCCAAAGCCATTTTTTCTTCTTCAACCATCTGATGTACTTGTAGCATTCCACGCCCACCTATTTGCCTTGGTAGATAAAGTCTATCAATGTCACTGCGTGGATGAAGGGCATGATTCATTGTCATTATTTTTCTGGTCTGCCTATCCATTGCTTTTAGTTCTGCTTGAGTCCAGTCCACTATTCCAGCTGTGTACCTAATGACTGGGATTGCCCAGGTGTTGATTGCCTTTATGGTATTTCCTCCATTGAGTTTGGATTTTAAGATCTTCTTCACTCTCTTGATGTATTCACCTCTAATCTTTTTCTTGACTTCAGTGTGCTTGATGTTGTCAGCTTGAAGGATACCCAAGTATTTGTAGTACTCTTCCTCATCCAGATTCTTAATGTTATTTTCGTGGGGCATCTTGATTCCTTCAGTTTTCATTATTTTTCCTTGTTTGATAGTAAGTGTGGCACATTTGTCCAAGCCAAACTCCATTACAATATCTTGGCTATATATACGGACAGTGTTGAGCAGCGATTCTATTTCAGATGATGTTTTTCCATACAGCTTCAGATCATCCATGTAAAGGAGGTGGGATAGTCTGGCAGATGTTTTTGATGTTTGATAGCCATGTCCTGAGTTATTCAGTATTGTTGACAGAGGAAACAGTGCAATAACAAATAGTAATGGTGATAATGAATCTCCTTGAAATATTCCTCTCTTGATATTAACCTCTCCCAGCCTCTCACCATTGATCTGCAACTGTGTCTTCCATTGTGCCATCGATCTTTGCACAAATTTTCTGATGTTTCTACTGACTCCTGTTATTTCTAGGCACTTTATTATCCAATCATGTGGCAGAGAGTCAAATGCCTTTTTGTAGTCAATCCATGCCACATTCAGGTTGGTCTTCCTTCTCTTGCAGTTTTCCAAGATCATTTTGTCTATTAGGAGTTGATCTTTTGTTCCTCTGCTATTGGGGCGGTTTCCTTTCTGCTCAGGTGGAAAGAGATTGTTTTCAACTAGATGCTGTTGTACTGCATCAGCTACCACACCAGTTAGTAATTTGAAAGTTGTTGGTAAGCAGGTAATTGGCCTGTAGTTACCTGGTGTTGCCCCTTTTGCTGGATTTTTCATTATTAGGTAGGTTTTCCCAGTTGTTAGCCACTTTTCAATTTCTCCTCCTTGTAGTATATTGTTGAACTGCTTGGCAATGAGTGGGTGTATAACAGTTAGATGTTTCAACCAAAACCCATGCAGTTCATCTTCACCTGGTGCTGACCAATTTTTGATTTTCTTTGCTCTTTTTTCTACCATTTTTGTTGTTATTACTAGTTCTTTCATTTCAACTTCTGTTTTATTTGCATCCACCTCTTTTAACCAAGCCGCATCCTTGTTGTATTTCTTTGGGTTATCCCATATCTGCTTCCAGAACTGCACTGTTTCTTCCTTGTCAGGTACTGACTGATTCTTGCAGTTTCTCCATTGATGGATTGGTAGAAACGTTTCTGATTGGATTGAAATTGGAGGTTCTGCCTATAGTTTGCAATTCGAGCTTCATATCTACTGATTTTCCTGGCTATAGCTGTTATTTGTTGCTTTATTATTTCCAGTGCTTCCTTGATCTTCCTTGTTTCTAAGTGGTATTTCTTGATTAGGTATTCTTTGGTCTTCTTGTTCTTCAGCTTCTTTTCTTTCATCTGTTCTAGCTTGCTTGCATGTGATCTTAACTTGCTGATCTTATTTTCTAGTCTAACCTTCCATTTTTGTGGTGCACTGTTTGTTTGTTTTTCTTCTTTGTTGATTTTGCATCCCAGGTATTCAGTTATAACTGCAGCTGTGCTGTACATTAGTTGGTTTGTTCTTGCAGTGAATTGGTGCTTATACTTGCTATTGCAGTATTTGCATCTTTTAATGCTTGTGCTAGCTGTTTCTTTGAAACAAGCTTCAATGCAGGCAGCCTTATTCTGTTGTTTTTGTGCTGTTCTAGATGCTCAGTTATTCTTTGTTTCAATTCTTTTATTTCTTTAGTTAGAGGGTTTTGTTCTTCCTGAGGAAGAGGTGCCTGGTTTCCAAATGAGAACAGTTGTATATCTCTGCTGGATTCCTTCACTGCCAACTCCCCCTGGTTTGCCTCTACATTCTGAATTACTTCTGGTAAGGCTTTGATTTCTTTGCCCTGGGTAAACCTTTGCAGTTCGTCCAATTCTGTTTCTGTGAATACTTTATTTCGTGTTATAAATCGGCGTTGATCTGCTAGTCTCTGTTCTGTTATTTCTGATTCTGGATGTTGTTCTTTCCAGAATTGGTGCATTCGTTTTAGATATCCTCTTCTTGTTGGACTTGATCTGTAGTAACAGATCATTATTTCTTTGTTTTCCATCACTGTGTATCTGCGACGGGTAAACACCTTTTCTTCCAGTAGTTCTGCAGCTGCTGGCCCTGGTTGCTCAGCCAACAGTCCTGAGTCCTGTAACCCATTTTTCACCAGATATCCAGGAACTCCAATATCTAGCACGGACCTTGTTAACCCGGGCGACGTCCGAGCCGGTATGGCATTCTGAAATTTACGTCTCACCATATTTTTTATGGGAGAGACACTCTTTGTCTGACTCCTCTGATGAGACCTGTCCAGTATGGTTGAACCTCTGGCATAGCTCTCATCTTCCTCAGAGTACACAAGCCCCACAACCACGTCAAGGTAGTGCCTCACTGGGGGTATTATTATTATTATTATTATTATTATTAAAAAATACAAAGTCAAAATTGAGAAGACAGCATCAGACAGTAAGTGCCACCTATGCAAAGAAGCTGAAGAAACAGTGGACCACTTGGTAAGCTGTTGCAAGAAGATTGCACAGACTGATTACAAGCAGCGGCATGACAAAGTAGCAACAATGGTGCATTGGAAGATCTGCAAAAAATATCATTTGCCTGTAAGCAAAAACTGGTGGGATCATAAAATAGAGAAAGTCATAGAAAATGATAAAATTAAACTGCTCTGGGACTTCAGAATTCAAACAGACAAGCACCTGCAACATAACACCCCAGACTTAACAATTGTCGATAAGAAAGACAAAAAAGTCTGGATAGTGGACGTGGCAGTGCCTGGAGACAGCAGAATAGAAGAGAAAGAACTGGAGAAGATAACAAAATACAAAGACCTACAAATAGAAATAGAAAGACTGTGGCAAAAGCAAGCAAGGGTAGTACCAATAGTCATAGGCTCCTTGGGTGCAATCCCAAAACAACTGGAGCACCACTTGAACACCATTGGCATTGACAAATTCGCTATTAGTCAATTGCAAAAGGCGGCCTTATTAGGAACTGCTTCCATCCTGCGACGATATCTGTAATACCATCAAACATCCACATCTGCCTATCCCAGGTCCTTGATAAGGACTCGATAGGTAGACAAAAATGCCAAATCCAGTCTGAACATCTGGCTGACTATGCGATGATCAATAATAATAATAATAATAATAATAATAATAATAATAATAATAATGTTGGAAGGGACCTTGGAGGTCATCTAGTCCAATCCCCCTGCTCAGTCAGGATTAAAGCAAGAACCCAACAAAAAAAGCATGATGAATACCTGCCAAAGAACTATAGAGACATGATTTGGGTCACCTCCAGAGGTTGCGAATGCTCCAACAATGGAGGTTTTTAAGAAGAGATTGGACAATCATTTGTCTGAAATGATACAGTGTCCTGCTTGAGCAGGGGGTTGGACTAGAGGACCTCCAAGGTCCCTTCCACGTCTGTCATTCTGTCGTTCTGCAATTCATTCAGAGCGGCTTTTAGCTAGCAAGAAAGTCCAGTGAAGAAACAAACCGTACATCACCCTTTGTAAACCATTTGACAACTTTGACCGGGATGGTATAATAAAGTCTCCTGCCTTGAGTAAGGGGGTTGGACTACAGGACCTCTAAGGTCCCTTCCAATTTGGTTAATTCTGTTATTCTGCTTTCGTAGAATCACAGAATCGGAGTCGTGGACTACCCACGTTTAAAATATATATGGTTGACTTCGGCTTCATAGTCGAGGGGGAAACTTTTAAACCTTGGGGAAAAAATGGGACCAGGTTGGGGTTTAAAATGAAAACAGCCCTGTCAAGGATGAAACATTGGCAGCTGCGTGCCACTGCATTTAAACTTTTAAATTAAGGAGGGGAGGTGTTACTTTCAAGTGGGTTAGATGGAGAAACGAAACGTCTACGATTCAGCTGACGTCCGAGAGAGCCTGAAGCCTTTTCAAGGACACCAGAACAGGTGTGGATTTGAAGCAGACGGTTCCCGTAACAAAGTAACTTGTTGATACGGACGATGTAAGACGTGGGGGGGGGGGTTGGCTGGGAAAACTATGGTTTAAATCTGTGAATTCAGCGTGGGAAGCTCAGAGTTAGTTTTGCTTCGACATTACCACGCAGCGTGTTCAATCAACGGTAAGATTTTTGGAGACGGGATGAACCTGGAGTTTGAATTCGGACTCTCGAGCTGGATGTTGACAAGTACCTTCTCGCCTTTGGATCCCGGAAATCCAGGGGGACCATCCAGTCCGATTGGACCAGGTAAGCCAGGTTTCCCCTGGAAAAGTAAAAAAAAAAAAGTCTCTTTGTTAGGTTTCCACTGAGATAAGGACACAGCTGACTAGGGGAATTCTGGGAGTTGAAGTCCACAGGTCCTAAAGTTGCAAGGTTGGAGACCCTTACTTTGAATGCTTTGCAATCACAGGCCACAAGTAGCTAATTATAACTTGATGCTTACCAAGTTATCTGCTTTCCCCTACTAGGAGTAACATCTCCCTTGAGTAAGAAACATCCTACAGTTCTTCCTCCAAGCAATGAAGGGATCCAGTTAGGAACAGAAGATCCCACTTACCAATTCCCCTCTTCCTCCTTTCTCTCCTTTGATCCCACTTCTGCCTCTAGGACCCTGAAAAACAGAAAGACTGGATTTGCAAAACACATTGAACTAGGCCAGGGGTAGGCCACCTTGGCTCTTTTATGACTGGTGGACTTCAACTCCCAAAATTCCTGAGCCAGACACGCTGAGGGGAAAGGGAGAAGTTTCCAAGCTGAGCCAGGCTGGCTCAGGAATTCTGGGAGTTGAAGTCCACGGGTCATGAAGGGACCAAAGTTTCCCTCATGTTGGCTCAGGAATTCTGGGAACTGAAGTCCACGAGTCATGAAGGGGGCCATAGTTCCCCCATGCTGGGTCAGGAATTCTGGGAGTTGAAGTCCACCAGTCATAAAAGAGCCAAGGTTGCCTACCCCTGGCCTAGGAGGCTCACCGCTTAGAACAGGAGGACTTAGGACAGGGGTGGGCAACCTGGGCTCTTTTATGACTGGTGGACTTCAACTCCCAGAATTCCTGACCCAGCCATGCTGAGGGGAAAGGGAGAAGTTTCCAAGCTGAGCCATGCTGGCTCAGGAATTCTGGGAGTTGAAGTCCACGAGTCATGAGGTGACCATAGTTTCTCCCATGCTGGCTCAGGAATTCTGGGAGTTGAAGTCCACCAGTCATGAAAGAGCCAAGGTTGCCTACCCCTGGTCTAGGAGGCTCACCGCTTAGAACAGGAGGACTTAGGCCAGGGTAGGCAACCTTGGCTCTTTTATGACTCGTGGACTTCAACTCCCAGAATTCCTGAGCCAGCCACACTCAGGGGAAAGGGAGAGGTTTCCAAGCTGAGCCAGGCTGGCTCAGGAATTCTGGGAGTTGAAGTCCACGAGTCATAAAAGAGCCAAGGTTGCCTACCCCTAAACTAGACTAAAAAAAAGTGTTTGACAGCTTGTGATTGAGATGTGGCAGAAGGCCAGCCAAGGTCTTATCGGGAACCAGGTAGTTCTCGACTTACAAATATTAGTTTAGTGACCGTCCATAGTTACAACAGGACTGAAAAAAGGGACTTAGAAACGGTCCTCGCACTTATGACCATCCTGGCGCTATTTGTGACGTTCCCAGCCAGCTTACGACAAGCAAAGTCAACGCGGGGGGGGGGGGGAGAAACCAGATTGATTTAATGACTGTACAATTTACTTGCTGTGATTTGCTTAACAAACCGTGGCCAAACAGCGGGTAAAATCCGGACTCAACTCACTTAACAATCTGCCTTAGCAACAGAACTTCTGATCTTAATTGTGGTCGTAAATTGAGGACTACCTGAATGCTTTCATACAGTTGATTTATCTGGAGATAACAAAGGCATTTATGTTCTGTAAAATATCAGTACAGGCATTAGCACTTAACACAAATGTAACTGAAAGGTCATTTCGTTGCTAGGAATAGATGAATCTTAATATTCCTAGAATATTTGCTTCCATTCATGTACAAATTCATCTCTCCCTTTTTCTACATCGCTTTGCAAATTTATTTTAATAAGTCTTCACACAGAGGCCTTCAATTACACGCCATTTGCTACACGATTGCCCCAATATGCTTCTTTTCATGTGTTGTAATTGATTATTTGATGATTATTTTGCACTATCATAAGCGGCTGTATTCCTGGACGTAATATTTGCATGGAGAACTCCGTTGCAAACCCCAGAGAGAAGTTTGAAATAACAAGGATGCATGCCAACGTAAGAAAAGTGAATTATTAAAAATAGGTTAATTAATGCCCCCATGCCTGACTCACTCTTTTGATAAGTCCTTCGAAGAGGGTGTTGGATCTAAAATAGGAACAGAAATTAAGCCACTTACTCTGAGGCCGGAGTCCCCTGCTTCACCCTGGAATTTAAAGAGCAGAACATGTCACAAAGGGCTGAAAGGTTTAACAGAATCACAGAGTCACAGAATTGGAAAGGGACCTTGGAGGTCATCTAGTCCGACCCCCTGCTCAGGCAGGAAAACCCTCTACTATTTCAGACAAATGGCTGTCCAGTCTCTTCTTGAAAACCTCCAGTGATGGAGCACCCACAACTTCTGGAGGCAGGTTGTTCCACTGGTTAATTGTTCTCGCTGTCCAGAAATTTCTCCTTGGTTCTAGATTGGATCTCTCCTTGGTTAGTTTCCATCTGTTGCTTCTTGTCCTGCCTTCAGGTGCTTTGGGGAATAGGTTGGCCCCATCTTTTTTTGGTAGCCCCTCAAATATTAGAAGGCTGCTCTCATGTCCCCCCTCGTCCTTCTCTTCATTAAACTAAACCAGGAGTAGGCAACCTCGGCTCTTTTATGACTCGTGGATTTCATCTCCCAGAATTCCTGAGCCAGCATGGCTCAGCTTGGAAACCTCTCCCTTTCTCCTCAGCATGGCTGGCTCAGGAATTCTGGGAGTTGAAGTCCACCAGTCATAAAAGAGCCAAGGTTGCCTACCCCTGGTCTAGGAGGCTCACCGCTTAGAACAGGAGGACTTAGGACAGGGCTAGGCAACCTTGGCTCTTTTATGATTCGTGGACTTCAACGCCCAGAATCCCTGAGCCAGCATGGCTCAGCTTGAAAACCTTTCCTCAGCGTAGCTGGCTCAGGAATTCTGGGAGTTGAAGTCCACGAGTCATAAAAGAGCCAAGGTTGCCTACCCCTGTACTAGACATACCCAATTCCAGCAACCGTTTGTATGCTTTCGCCTTCATATGTTTAACTGGGAATCCATGCCAACTTCTTCGAAATTCAGATGCTCGGCAACTGACATGTACTTAGGACAGTTGCAGTGTCCCAGGGTCATGTGATTCCCCCTGATGAGCAAAGTCGATGGGAAACCGTGTTACTAACTCAACGATTGCAGTGGCTCAGTTAACAACTGTGGCAAGAAAGGTCGTAAAGCGGGGCGAAACCCACTTAGCAAATGTCATGCTTAGCCAGAAAAAAATTGGGGTCCATTGTGGTCGTAAGTGGAGGACTACCTGTACTCAGCTATTGGCTGATGCAAGGTGGGCACCGATTGGCTGAAAAGGCTCCCTGGGAGATTTAGAGTCACCAGTCAAAGAGGGAAAGAGAGGTTGGCTTTAAAAAAAAAATGCATGGGGAATGATTGACATCCAGGACAGCCAATGAGGTGCAAAGGCACAACAATCTTACATACCTTCACCGACCAGCCAGGTGGTCCCTGTGGTCCAGGTAGACCAGGTAGGCCAGGGGGGCCTGCAACACCAGGAACCCCCGGCTGTCCTTTTTGACCCTGAAATACACACATAAAATAGAATAAGCCAGTTATTCGAGCAGAGTGTCTCAACCTTGACAGCTGGCAAATGTGTGGACTTCAACTCCCAGAATTCCCCAGCCAGTTACGATGCCCAGATGCTTAGGAGTCTAGTTTCTGCTCCCAAGGCGATGCTAATCGGATCTGAAGATTTGGGGGTGATTGTCTCCACCCTCCAAAATGTCAGGAAAGGAAGAAATACCCGTAGCTCAGGGTGGAACTGTGGTGTCCGTAAGCTCGGTTTTTTTCTTGCAGATGTTTTATGACCCAACTAGGTAACAGAATCAGTGCTAGAAGGGAGGGGGATATAAGGGGTGATGGAGAATGAGGAGGAGGAGGAGGAGGAGGCACTGATGATGTTACCTATTTGGATCATGAAATGTCTTTAAGAAAACAACCAAGCTCCACGATCACCAAGGACTCCACAGTCTTTCCTCCTCCTCCTCCTCCTCCTCCTCCTCCTCCTCCTCCTCCTCCTCCTCCTCCTCCTCCTCCACAAACACCATTCCCTTCTAGCACTCATGATGTTACTTAGTTGGGTCATGAAACATGTGCAAGAAAACCACCCAGCTCAGAGAGCACCAAGGACTCTACCGACCTCTTCTTCTTCTTCTTCTTCTTCTTTTTCTTCTTCTTCTTCTTCTTCTTCTTCTTCTTCTTCTTCTTCTTCTTCTTCTTCTTCTTCTTCTTCTTCTTCTTTTCTTCTTCCTCTTCCTTTTCCTCCTCCTCCTCCTCCTCCTCCTCCTCCTCCTCCTCTTCTTCTTCTTCTTCTTCTTCTTCTTCTTCTTCTTCTTCTTCTTCTTCTTCTTCTTCTTCTTCTTTTCTCCTCCTCCTCCTTTTCTTCTTCTTTTCTCCTCCTCCTCCTCCTCCTTTTCTTCTTCTTCTTCTTCTTCTTCTTCTTCTTCTTCTTCTTCTTCTTCTTCTTCTTCTTCTTCTTCTTCTTCTACTTCTTCTTCTTCTTCTTCTTCTTCTTCGTCTTCTTCTTCTTCTTCTTCTTCTTCTTCTTCTTCTTCTTATTCTTCTTCTTCTTCTTCTTCTTCTTCTTCTTCTTCTTCTTCTTCTTCTTCTTCTTCTTCTTCTTCTTCTTCTTCTTCTTCTTCTTCTTCTTCTTCTTCTTCTTCTTCTTCTTCTTCTTCTTTTCTTCTTCTTCTTCTTCTTCTTCTTCTTCTTCTTCTTCTTCTTCTTCTTCTTCTTCTTCTTCTTCTTCTTCTTCTTCTTCTTCTTCCTGTTCCTCCTGTTCCTCCTGTTCCTCCTCCTCTCTACAATCCCCATTCTTCTTCTCCCTCCTCCCCTTCTCCTTTTCTTCTTCTCCATAAAACATGCACCCTCCTAACATTGATGATGTTATCTAGTTGGGTCAAGAAACGTCTGGAAGAAAACCACCAAGCTCCGAGAGCACCCAGGACCCCTCAAGATATCTTCTTTTACTCACCGGAGCACCTGGTTGTCCACTTCTTCCTGAGATGACTTCCATGCTTCCTAGGAGATATCCTGGCTCTCCCTGCAGAAGAGACGTTGCGTTTATGTACTGCGTATCCGACGGAGTCCAAATCTACTTCTGTATAAAACCATAACTTGAGAGGACCAATTCATGCACGTACAATTGGGATCTTTGGAATATATTGGGCATGTTTTCTGCTAGATTGTTTGTCAGGTGTTAATCCCTGCTTATCTGGCTCATTAAATGATGTATTTGTAGGTCTACAAGTTCTTTACTCCAGTATAAAGATGAAGAGACGATGCCAATCCAGAGATTTAGCACTTGAGGGTTGAAAAAAGGATTTCCAGTGTCTGTCTTGACAATGGTCCTCAAATGCTACCAAAATATGAGACCACCAGCTTGATGGTATCCCAGTAGCCCTTGACCTGATGCTGCAACAATCATCAGGGGTCGTGTCACTTTTTTTCAGTGCTGTTGTAAATTCCAACAGTCACTAAACCGGGGGTCTTCAAACTTGGCCCTTTCATGACTTGTGGACTTCAACTCCCAGAATTCCTCAGCCAGCATGGACCATATAAGCCAGGGGTCTTCAAACTTGGCCCTTTGATGACTTGTGGACTTCAACTCCCAGAATTCCTCAGCCAGCATGGACCATATAAGACAGGGGTCTTCAAACGTGGCCCTTTTATGGCTTGTGGACTTCAACTCAGGTGGTCTTGGCCTAGAGCAGAGAGTCTCCCAAAGTGGCAACGTTAAGGCCTATGGACTTCAATGCCCAGAATTCCCCAGGCAATGGGGAATTCTGGGAATTGAAGTCCACAGGTCTGAAAGTGGCCAAGATTGGAGACCCCTGGCATAGATCTAAGGTTACGTATTACATCTTAGGTGTGGTATCAACACAGTTTTATTGTGTATAAGTGTAATGCACAGAATAGAAACTCACTCTGTCTCCTTTAGGCCCAGGTGGACCTGGGAATCCAGGAAGTCCCTAGTCAGACCGTGCAGAAAAAAGAGATTTAGCTTAGTGCCAAAACAGGAGCAGTCAAAATCATGTACTCATATACCACACAAATCCAGTACTGAGACCCACTTTGGTCTAATGGTTTAAAGTATCAGTTAGAAACCTGGAGATGGGAGTTCTAGTCCCACCTTAGGCTGAAAAGCTATCTGGGTGACTTTGGGCCAATCACCAGGAGACAGTGAGTTCTAGTCCCACTTTAGGCATGGAAGCCAATTGGGCGACTTTGGGCCAATCACCAGGAGATGATGAGTTCTAGTCCCACTTTAGGCATGAAAGCCGGCTGGGTGACTTTGGACCAATCACCAGGAGACTGTGAGTTCTAGTCCCAGTTTAGGCATGAAAGCCAGCTGGGCGACTTTGGGCCAATCACCAGGAGATGGTGAGTTCTAGTTCCACCTTAAACATGGAAGCCAATTGGGCGACTTTGGGCCAATCACCAGGAGACGGTGAGTTCTAGTTTCACCTTAGGCATGGAAGCCAATTGGGCGACTTTGGGCCAATCACCAGGAGACGGTGAGTTCTAGTCCCACTTTATGCATGAAAGCTGGCTGGGTGATGTTGGACCAATCACCAGGAGACGGTGAGTTCTAGTCTCACCTTAGCCATGAAATCCTGCTTGCTTTCATGGCCAAGGCCAGACTAGAACTCACTGTCTCCTGTCTTCTAGCCTGGTGCCTTAACCCTTAGCACAAATTGTCTCTATCTATATACAACTTACTTGATCTCCTTGTGTGCCTGGGAGTCCCTGTCCATTAAGAGAGAGAAGAAAAGCATGACTTATTAAAAATGAGGCATTGGGTAACTTTTCTAAAACAGTTGTGATCTGAACAGCATCAAATATCTACTCTTAATCCAGGAGACCCTGGTGGGCCCGCTCGTCCATGTCTGCCAGGTAATCCCGGGATCCCATCTTTTCCTGGAAATCCCTAAATAAAGCAGAAAAGAACAGAAGATATGTATAAGAAATAGGGCGTCAACATCCAGCTTGAGAATCCAAATAAAACTCCATGTTCATTCCGCCTCTGAAAAATCTTATTGAATACACTGCATGGTTATGTTGAAGAAAAACTAACTCTGAGGTTCCAACACCCAATTCACAGACTTAAACAATATTTTTTCTGGCCAAACCCCCAATGTCTTACATAGTCCATAAAAACAAGTTCACTTTGTTACGGGAACCGTCTGCTTCAAATCCACACCTGTTCTGGTGTCCTTGAAAAGGCTTCAGAATCTCACGGACTTCAGCCGAATCGTAGAAGTTTCATTTCTCCATTTAACCCACTGTTGAAGGCCAAACAGACCCCTGTGAAAGTCTAAATGGATCTATTTCAGTGGTTCTCAAGCTGTGGCCCGCAGACCCCTGGAGGGGCTGTGATGTTGTCACTGGTGTGTGTGGGGGGGGGGTCCACAAAGGCTTGAACAAATGTTATGATTTGAATCTTGAGTTAAGCCTTGAGGATCTGTGACCACAAAAAGTATTTAAAAGGGGTCCCCGGTAAAGAAAAGGTTGAGAACTCCTGATCTATTTGATCCAAAATTTTCCAAACTGGAAATCCACTCACCCGTTCTCCTTTTTCCCCCTTGGTGGTGAAGGCAAACGGGTTGTAGCTTCCTCCTCTGTGTAAGCTTCCTCTCACAAAGCTCTGTAGAAGCAGTCAAGTGTCATTCTAGAAGTTTGGGCCCCCAATTAATCCATCCCAGAATGCTTGTCTTCTCCAACAGAGAACAGGGCTCTCCAAACTTTTAAGACGTGTGGACTTCAACTCCCAGAATTCTCAAGCCAGGATTCTGGGCTCAGTTATGGTCGTAAGGAGAGGACGACCTCCTCCTCTGACACTATCACGGATACTCCACATAGGCTGTGGGGCTGAAAGAGGGAGACTGACCCAGCTCCCTTCAGGGAATTGTCAGGCGCGAAGAATCGGGACCACACGTCAAGCTCTCATTTTATTGCTCACGCCTATACAGATAGCCATCGACTTACAACCACACACTCAAACTCAAAATTTCAAGTATCCACTGAGGCAATTGAGTTTTGCCTCATTTTACGACCTTTCTTGCCACCGTTAAGCGAATCACGTCAGTTGTTAAGTTAGTAACACGGTCGTTAAGTGAATCCGACTTTGCTTGTCGGAAGGTCACAAGAGATAATCACATGACCCCGGGTTACTGCAACCATCATAAATATGAACCAGTTGCCAAGTGCCTGAATATTGATCACGGGACCCGTGGGATGCGGCAACGGTTGTTAAGTGTGAAAAACAAGTCACAAATCACTTTTTTTCAGTGCTGTTGTAACTTTGAATGGTCACTAAATGAACTGTTGTAAATGGAGGACTACTTGTACACAAGAATCTGGTCAACTAACAGTCAGCATGAAATTGGTGCTAGATAAGAATCAATGCAACTCAAAGGGGATTTGACTCAGAGCCTTTGTGACTACCTAAAGATTCCAGGCTGATTTCTCTCTTGACTCCACCACCAGGCTCTGCCTATTCTTCTCCTACAACAGGGGTCGCCAACCTATGGTCTGCGGCCCAGTACTGGGCCGTAGCCTGTTGGCCACCTGGCCCCAGGAATAGGTGGTGAGCCCCACCCCACTCACGGTAGCACTGCCGCATGGGTACTGGCAGCCCGATTTGCACATGCGCAGCGACACTAGCACCGCCACCAGCATCACACAAGCATCCACGGCCCGTTTGCATATGTGCGGGGATGCTAGCATCGCCACCAGCATCACACAGGTGTCCGCGGCCGTTTGCACATGCACGGGGATGCTAGCACCGCCACCAGCATCACACGGGCAATTGCACCCGTTTGCACGTGCACGTGAGCTATGGGAGTGTGTGGCCCACTTGTGCATACGTTTACATGCCAGCACTGCCGTCGTGCACATGCCCGTTTATGCATACGCAGGGCAGCACGCGTGCACACTTCCCTGCTGCTCCCTTTCCTTTCGGACCGTCGAGATGAAAAGGTTGGGGAACTCTCTGCTACAAGACCTTCTGGGGCTGAGCAAAAACAGACCCTCTCTAGCTCAGCTCCTTCCTGAAAGAGGGACCCTGATTGTTGGATTAAAAGAGAGAGAGAGAGAGAGAGAGACTGTCCCCAAATCCCCCAGGTGGCCTCTGTAGCTCAGCTTAGACTTGAATCCTCATTTTCTCAATATTAACCCCAAACTGAACTACGAATGAGGGTCCCCAGGTTCAGAGGCCATCCACACCTGCCTTACCTCCAAACATTTGGGGTCACAAGGTCCTTGCGTGGCGAACGCTGCCAGGTGAGTAGGAGGGGAACTGCTGGTGGCTGGCCTCATCGGCTCATCAAACAGCCGTTCTGGTGGCCCCAGTGCTTTGCTGGCAAACTTAGAATAAAGGACATAAGGTTAGTCCATTCTGCTATGCACTTTATCCAGAAGAGCTGAAGGACATAGACCCAAATATGTCTACAGTCTACACCAGGGGTCCCCAATCTGTGGGCTGTGGCTTATTCGTAGTATGGGAAGTCACTCCCCAGAGAAGGAAATATTAAAAAGGGCAGAAAATTATATTTTCTCAAAGGATCTTAAAAGAGGCAGAAAAGCATGCCTTTCTTAATAGCCCCAAGTGTCCCTCCCCCAAGCAGAAACCAGCTCTGTAGAAATGCAGATGTAATAATCCATTCAGGAAGGTGAAGCCCTCCAGCTAGAACAGTGGTTCTCAACCTTTTTAATGCCGCGACCCCCAACCGGTCGTAAGTCGAGGACTACTCAACTGGTCGTAAGTCGAGGACTACTCAACTGGTGCAGCACCATTTGCATAATGGGACTTTTGACGGGTTAGCAGGGCAGAGACAGCCTGGACAATTCCTGTTGGCTTTTGAAAGCCAATAAAATTAGACTCTATTCAAGAGAGTCTATTCTATTGGCTTTCAAAAGCCAGTAGAATAAAAGGGAGTAGCACAGCTAAGGAAAAGGGGAAAAAAATGGCAGACTGCATTGTTTGGTGACCCCCATGAAATGGTTGCTCGACCCCAAATGGGGTCCCGACCCACAGGTTGAGAACCACTGAGCTAGAAGCTAGAAGATTAAGAAGACAAAGACACTTAAAATCTACATACCCCACCCAAACTCTAAGACAGGACATAATAGGATTAACCCACAGATGCCAAAGGGACACAGGTCAAAATACATGCCACAGGAAATACAAAGCCTCAAACAGAAACAGGAACAACTCCAAACAAAAGGCTCCAGAGGGTATAAAAACCAACTCCGTACATGTGCTCGCTCTCTTTTTTCTTCCAGAGCCATCTTTCTGTCTGGCTCTCTTCTCCAATAAACTGCAACCTTCTTTCTAAAGCAGTCGCCATGTTGTTTATTCCCAGCTGGGACTGAACCACGATGAAGACTTTTCCTTCAACAGTAGCCAGGCTGCATCAGTGGTGGGCCGGTATGCACCAGTGTTTGCAGCCCCACTTGCGTGAGTGGTGGGTACCCGCGCCTGCCGCTCACCCAAATGAAGCCGTGTGTGCGCGTGTGCCTGTCTGCCCCTCACTTTCCCCTCTTCCACCCCCTTGCCCCACGCTGGGCCACCGACCTGGAAAAGTTGGGGAATGCTGATCTACACAGGCGGATTCCGCCACGTTAAAGAGGCTTAAATCGCAGAGATTGCAACTTTAAAGGCGTTCCTATGAACGTTTATTTGAAAATAATTTATCTACGTGCTTAAGGGGATTTGATCCTATTCCGGGGGGGGGGGGGCGAGCGGGATAAAAGACGGCACAGTCCAGGACTGGATCACCAGACAAGTAAGAGATTGAGGATAGCTATTTCCAGAATATATCCATTAAGTCAGGATTGTATAGATCAGGGCCTGGCTTAGGAATTCTGGGAGTTGAAGTCCACAAGTCATAAAAGAGCCAAGTTTGAAGACTCCTGGTATAGATTTAGTCTGGCAAAACTTCTATATACAGTGTATCCAGCGAACCAGTTTGGTCTAGGCCAGTGGTTCTCAACCTGTGGGTCGGGACCTCATTTGGGGTCGAACGACCATTTCACGGGGGTCGCTAAACAACGCTGTCCGCTATTTTTTCCCCCTTTTCCTTAGCTGTGCTACTCCCTTTTATTCTATTGGCTTTTGAAAGCCAATAGAATAGACTCTCTTGAACAGAGTCTAATTCTATTGGCTTTCAAAAGCCAATAGGAATTGTCCAGTCTGTCTCTGCCCTGCTGAGCCCGCCAAAAGTCCCAGTCTTCAAACGGTGCTGCACCACCTGAGTAGTCCTCGACTTAGGACCGGTTGAGTAGTCCTTGACTTACGACCGTTTGGGGGTTGCGGCATTAAAAAGGTTGAGAACCACTGGTCTAGGCCTAGGGATTAAGGTGCCAGGTTAGAAACTGGGAGACGTGAGGTCTAGTCCTGCCTTAGGCATGAAAGCCAGCAGGGTGACTCTGGGCCAATCATCAGGAGGTGGTGAGTTCTAGTTCTACCTTAGGCCTGAAAGCCAGCTGTGTGACTTTGGACAATCACCAGGAGGTGGCGAGTTTTCTCTCTCTCTCTCTCTCTCTCCCTCCCTCCCTCCCTCCCTCTCTCTTTCTCTCTCTCTCACACACACACACAAAAAAAAACACAGCCATAATCTTTTAAATATATATATAGGATTATGGGATAGTCCGTAACAGAATAAGAGCCCTGTGGCCTAAAGAAGGATGCAAAAAAAACCTGAGTTACCTTCAAATGTTCTGGGAGATCTCTGTTCCCTTGCCGAGATCCCAAACAAATGATTTCCACCAGTTCCTCGATGATTTGGGTCAAATCATCAAAAGTGTCAACATGGAAGAGATGGTCCAAGTTCTGAGGCAGGAGAACCTGCTTCAATTCCTCCACATTTGCTCCTGAGATGCCCACAACGATTATCTGAATTCCTGCAGGACAGGAGAGAGAAGATCAACACACCGGAAGAAGGGTTGCATTGCAGTGCACAGTAGGCAGAAGGGGTGTGTGTGTGCCCAAATCTGCAATGGGGCAGTGTAGGAAAGATCTTGGGAAGAGATGCTGCCTAGATTAGATAAGAGAAGACGTAGCCCACAATTGCATAATGGACGGAGGAACAAACTCAGAAAGGAACCTGTCTAATTTCTCGGTCTCTAAAAGAGACGGCGGGAAATTTGTACTTTTCAGACCTGCAAGATTCTGTTAAGGGAGCCTTACAATAAAGCAGAATTAACTCACCTAATTGCGTTTCCTATCTGAAAAGGTTGACAGGCAGAATACAAGGATACTAGAAGTGAGGAGATTCAGGTTCTAGTTCCCCTTAACCACAGAGGTTTCCTGGGGGATTTTAGGCCAGTTGTTCTTACTAAGGCCTTACCTCTGATGGAGATGGAGGTGGAGGTAGAGATGAGGATGGAGGTGAAGGTGCAGGTGAAGATGGAGGTGGAGGTAGAGATGGAGATGGAAGTGGAGCTGGAGATGTAGGTGGAGATGGAACGATAGAGAGATGGGGAGGGAGAGGGAGGGGGAGAGACAGAGAGATAGAGGTGGAGATGGAAGTAGAGATGGAGGTGGAGATAGAGATGATGGAGATAGAAATGGAAAGGGAGGTGGAGACTGAGGTGGAGAGACAGGGATAGAGGTGAAGGTGAAAGTGAAGGTGGAGAGACAGGGAGATGGAGGTGGAGGTGGAAATGGAGGAGGAAGTGGAGGTGGAGATGGAGATGGAAGTGAAGGTGGAGATGGAGGTGGACGTGGAGAGACAGAGAGATGGAGGTAGAGGTGGAGAAACAGAGATAGAGGTAGAGATGAAGGTAGAGATGGAGGTAGAGATGGAAGTCAAGGTGGAGGTGGAGATGGAGGTGGACATGGAGAGACAGAGAGATGTAGAGATGGAGGTGGAGGTGGAAGGGAAGGTGGACAGACCCAGATAGAGGCAGAGGTAGAAGCAGAAATAGAGATGGAGATGATAGTGATGGAGAAACAGCGAGAGGGAGATGATGCTAGAGATGGAGGTAGACCTCTCTGCTATCTATAAATCCATTTCCTTCCTTTTGCACAGAGGGGAGGGAGTCTTAAATTCATGACTATTTTCCTTTGGGATCAATAAGGTAAGCCGAACACAGAAACCCAAAGCATCTGGTACTGCCTTTTATATCCAAACTTTCTCAATGTCAGACGCATCGTATCTATGAGGTCGAAACCATAACTACCTAGAAGGTGAGCCAGTCTAGATGGGGGTAGCACGTCATCCAGGGAGGGGCCATCTGTCAGCAGGATCAGGATGTGTGGGACAGCAGGCCTCATTCCCTTGGCGACTTGAAATATTTCTTTCAGCACATAAGCAATTCCTCTGCCTGGGAGAAAACACAGAATCTTAGAGAAGTAGAACAGTAAAAAATAATAATAATAATCACAAAACAACTGGAGCACCAAAGGTGCTTTTCTCAACAGGCCACTGGACTTTCTTGTTTTTCTTTGAAGACCTTTCGCTTCTCATCCGAGAAGCTTCTTCAGGTTCTGACTGAATGGTGGGGAAGGAAAGGATTTATACTCCTTGCAGACAGCTGGTCATTTGCATTTTTTAGAGAGTCGTTGAAGCCACTTGGGGGTTTGTCTGTGTCCTCAGGGTCACCTGAGTGGTGCAAATGGGTGTCCCAACCCTTTCAGCAGCTCCAGGAAGGCTCCACACCCATTTGCACCACTCAGGTGACCCTGAGGACACAGATGAACTCCAAGTGGCCTCAATGACCCTCTAAAAGAATGCAAATAACCAACTGTCTCCAACTTCCCTGCCATCCTGTCGGCGCTGAAGAAGCTTCTTGGATGAGAAGCGAAACGTCTTCACAGAATAAACAGAAAGTCCGGTTGCTTCCTGAAAAAGCATTTTTGGGACAACTATGACCTGAATGACTAAGAATCTCCATAGACAAATGGAGCACCACTTGAGCATCATTGGCACTGACAAAATCCCCATCGGTCAATTGCAAAAGGCAGCTTTACTCAGAACAGCTTACATCCTGCAGACAATTATCTGTAACCCCATCAAATATCCAGATCTGCCTATCCCTATCAGAGAAGGATGAGGGGGGATATGATAGTAGTGTTCCACTATCTCAGGGCTGCCCCAAAGAAGAGGGAGTCAAGCTATTCTCCAAAGCCCCTGAAGGCAGGACAAGAAGCAACGGATCATGGAAACTCATCAAGGAGAGAAGCAACCTGGAACTAAGGAGAAACTTCCTGACAGTGAGGACAATTAACCAGTGGAATAACCTGCCTCCAGAAGCAGTAAATGCTCCAACACTGGAAGCTTTTAAGAAGAGACTGGACAGCCATTTGTCTGAAATGGTATAGGGTTTCCTGCCTGAGCAGGGGATTGGACTAGATGACCTCCAAGGTCCCTTCCAACCAATAATAATAATAATAATAATAATAATAATAATAATAATAATAATAAAGGAAAAACAGAATTGGAAAGGACCAGAATTTCCCTTGCCTAAGGAAGGTTGTTATCCAATGAATCACGCCCTGATTTTTGCCATTGTTGTTAAGCCAATTATTGTGATTGTTAAATGAACCATGCAGTCATTAAGTAAATCTGTCTTCCCCCATTCAATTTGTTGGAAGGTGGCTAGGAAAGTCAAAACATGGTGATCACATGATCCTGGGACACTGCGACCGTCATAAACACATGCCCGTTGCAAGGCACTCAAATTTTGATCGCACAACTCTGGGGATGTCGCAGTGTTCCTTAGTGCAAGAGCCAGTCATAAATTATTTGCTTCGGTGGCTTTGCAGTTTCGAACGGGCTGTTAAACAAATGGCCGTAAGTCAAGGCCTGCATTAATTTGTCTGAGAATTATTATTATTATTATGGATCATCGCACAATCAGCCAGATGTTCAGACTGGATTTGGCATTTTGTCTACCTATCGAGTCCTTACCCAGGACCTGGGATAGGCAGATGTGGATGTTTGATGGTATTACAGGTATCGTCGCAGGATGGAAGCAGTTCCTAATAAGGCCGCCTTTTGCAATTGACTAATAGCGAATTTGTCAATGCCGATGATGGTGTTCAAGTGGTGCTCCAGTTGTTTTGGGATTGCACCCAAGGAGCCTATGACTATTGGTACTACCCTTGCTTGCTTTTGCCACAGTCTTTCTATTTCTATTTGTAGGTCTTTGTATTTTGTTATCTTCTCCAGTTCTTTCTCTTCTATTCTGCTGTCTCCAGGCACTGCCACTTCCACTATCCAGACTTTTTTGTCTTTCTTATCGACAATTGTTAAGTCTGGGGTGTTATGTTGCAGGTGCTTGTCTGTTTGAATTCTGAAGTCCCAGAGCAGTTTAATTTTATCATTTTCTATGACTTTCTCTATTTTATGATCCCACCAGTTTTTGCTTACAGACAAATGATATTTTTTGCAGATCTTCCAATGCACCATTGTTGCTACTTTGTCATGCCGCTGCTTGTAGTCAGTCTGTGCAATCTTCTTGCAACAGCTTACCAGGTGGTCCACTGTTTCTTCAGCTTCTTTGCATAGGCGGCACTTACTGTCTGTTGCTGTCTTCTCAATTTTGACTTTATATGCATTTGTCCTTAAGGCTTGGTCTTGTGCAGCCAGAATTAGTCCCTCGGTCTCTTTCTTCAATTTTCCTGCTCTTAGCTATTGCCAGGTCTTGTTATTATCTGCTTTCCCAGCTATTTTTTTCATGTATTGGCCATGTAGTGCTTTGTCTTCCCATGCCTCTATTCTGTTCTTCATTTGGTCTTTCTTGTAGGCCAATTTGGTCTCTCCAGTAGTCAGTAAGCCTTCCTGATATACTAATTTCAGTGCATCTTCATCATTGTTCTTCAGATATTCTCCCAAAGCTATTTTTTCTTCTTCAACCATCTGATTTACTTGTAGCATCATCATCATCATCATCATCATCATCATCATCATCATCATTATTATTATTATTATTATTTATTCTCCTACTATGGGCCCTGGGATGTGCAGCAGTCCAACCCAAATGGATGAACGGACACAAAACAGACGAATGAAAAGCTAACATGACACCCACCTGTCTTTGTATTCCCGCCGTTATAGACAAGGCTCCTGAGAGCATTTAGAACTCGGATCCGGTCTGTAAAGGTGTTCAAATGGAATGCGGGCCTGGGTTTTTCGCTGTACTGAACTACTGAAACCTGACAAGTAACAGACAATTTTGTTTAAAAAAATAGAGAGAGAGTTTAAACATAATCATAATCATAATCATCATCATCATCATAATAATAATAATAGTAATAATAAAGTTGGAAGGGACCTTGGGGGTCATCTAGTCCAACCCCCTGCTCAGGCAGGAAACCCTACACCATTTTGGACAAATGGCTGTCCAGTCTCTTCCTCCTCCTCCTCTTTGTAAACTCCTCTCCCTTCTAGCCCTGATGATGTTCCCTAGTTGGGTCATGAAATGTCTGCAAGGAAACCACCCAGCTCAGGGAGCACCAAGGACACCATAGTTCTCCTTCCTTCCTTCCTTCCTTCCTTCCTTCCTTCCTTCCTTCCTTCCTTCCTTCCTTCCTTCCTTCCTTCCTTCCTTCCTTTCTTCTCCTCCTTTCTAGCACTGATGATGTTCCCTAGTTGGCTCATGAAACGTCTGCAAGGAAACCACCCAGCTCAGAGAGCATCAAGGACCCGTAGTTCTCCTTCCTTCCTTCCTTCCTTCCTTCCGTCCTTCCTTCCTTCCTTCCTTCCTTCCTTCCTTCCTTCCTTCCTTCCTTCCTTCCTTCCTTCCTTCCTTCCCACTCCTTTCTAGCAGTGATGATGTTACTTAGTTGGGTCATGAAACGTCTGGAAGGAAACCACGAAGCTCAGAGAGCACCAAGGACACCCCCCCCCCAAAAAAACCCAATTTCTGTGAGAGAAGGATTTACCTGGGTACCTTCAGGCCCAATTTGAGGGAAATTAGAGACCAGCTGGACGAGGAAATCCTTCATTTTGATAAAGTTGTTTGCCCCGATGCTTGAGGACTCGTCCACCAGGAAAGCGACGTCCGCTTTGATTTTGCTATAGGCTGGGGGGGGGGGAGGAAAAGGATTTATTGATTGATTGAAAACATTTATCACCTGATCATCCCCCCCTTGCTACCCTCCCAGGGGGCTTCTGAGAAGCAAACTTAATGGGAAAAATCGGATTTGCTTAATGACCACGTCAAGAAAAGGTCATAAAATTGGGCGTGATTCAGCAACCACTTCCCTTAGTGACGAAAGCCCCGGTCCCATTTTGTGGCCGCAAGTCGGGAACGACCTGTCGTTGCAATCTACTCTCCCACTTAAACCACGATTACCCTTCCTTGAATAAGAGATTTGTGCTCAAAACCTACATTACATTATTGATTTATTTGACACACTTGGAAATAAGGAGGCATTTCCTGACGGTGAGGAGGATTCGGCGATGGGACCGCTTCCCTCTTGGAGTTGTGTCTGCTCCATCGCTGGAGATTTTCAAGAAGAGACCGGACAGCCATTTGTCCAAATAACAGAATAGCAATGTTGGAAGGGACCTTGGAGGTTAATAGTTAATAGTAGTAAAGTTGGAAGGGACCTTGGAGGTCATCTAGTCCAACCCCCTGCTCCAGCAAGAGACCCTATACCATTTCGGACAAATGGCTGTCCAGTCTCTTCTTAAAAACCTCCAGTGTTGGAGCATTTACCGCTTCTGGAGGCAGGCTGTTCCACTGGTTAATTGTTCTAATTGTTAGGAAGTTTCTCCTTAGTTCTAGGTTGCTTCTCTCCTTGATTGGTTTTCATCCGTTGCTTCTTCTCCTGCCTTCTGGTGCTTTGGAGAATAGCTTGACTCCCTCTTCTTTGGGGCAGCCCCTGAGATATTGGAAGACTGCTATCCTGTCCCCCCTCGTCCTTCTCTTCATTAAACTAGACATATCCAATTCCATCAACCGTTCCTTATATGTTTTAGCCTCCAGCCCCCTGATCATCTTTGTTGCTCTTCTCTGTTCTCTTTCTGGAGTCTCAACATCTTTTTGTACATCGTGGTGACCAAAACCGGATGCAGTGTTCCAAGTGTGGCCTTTCCAAGGCGTTGTAAAGTGGTATTAACACTTCACGTGATCTTGATTCTATCTTTCTGTTAATGTAGCCTAGCACTGTGTTGGCCTTTTTGGCAGCTGCCGTGTGCTCATGTTTAAGTGATAGACTCCGAGATCCCTCTCACAGTTAACTACTATAGAGCTAGTTACTACACCTGTCCTATACTATACCTGTGCCTTTGGTCTCCTGTCCCAGGCAGCGGGTTGGACTAGAAGACCCCCAAGGTCTCTCTCAACGATAGGATTGTGGCTAGGCTAAATTCTCTTCCCGCTGCATAATACTCATTCTCATGAAGTACCACTAGATCAGTGGTTCTCCACTTGTGGGTCGGGACCCCATTTGGGGTCGAATGACCATTTCACGGGGGTCGCCAAACAACGCAGTCCGCCATTTTGTTCCCCTTTTCCTTAGCTGTGCTACTCCCTTTTATTCTATTGGCTTTTGAAATCCAATAGAATAGACTCTCTTGAATAGAGTCTAATTCTATTGGCTTTCAAAAGCCAATAGGAATTGTCCAGGCTGTCTCTGCCCTGCTGAGCCCGCCAAAAGTCCCATTCTGCAAACGGTGCTGCAACAGTTGAGTAGTCCTCGACTTACAACCGGTTGGGGGTCGCGGCATTAAAAAGGTTGAGAACCACTGCACTAGATACTTCTCAGAACCCTGCAAGTCTTGTGGCGCTTACATGGACCAGCCGTGGTGATTGAAGGGGTGGGAACCGAGGCACCCAGCAAATTAGGACGTTGGGCTGTGGCTGCAACGCTGAAGCTCGTCTTAAAAGAGGCAACTGTTGGAACGATGGACTGGTTTGTTCTTGTGGGTCGAAGTTTTGTTGGAGGCGATGTTCCAGACATCCCCGTTGGAAGGACACCAGAGAGGTTCCTGGATGTTCCAACTATGAACCAAAAACCAAGAAGACATTTCGTGAGAGAGGTCAATTTTTTTTCCCCACCATGGGTAAAATAAATCAGGGGTCTTCAATCTTGGCAACTTGGAGAATTCTGGGAGTTGAAGTCCACCAGTCTTAAAGTGGTCAAGGTTGGATACCTCTCCAGACCACTGTTCCTCAACCTTGAAGATATGGAGACTTCAACTCCCAGAATCCACCCATCTTAAAGGATGCTGGCTGGAGAATTCTGGGAGTTGAAGTCCACCAGTCTTAAAGTGGCCAAGGTTGGATACTTTTCTAGACCACTGTTCCTCAGCCTTGAAGACATGGAGACTTCAACTCCCAGAATCCACCCATCTTAAAGGATCTTGGCTGGGGAATTCTGGGAGTTGTCCACGTCTTAATATGGCCAAGGCTGGATAGCCCTCGTCTAGACCACTGTTCCTCAACCTTGAAGACATGGAGACCTCAACCTCTCAGAATCCACCCCATCTTAAAGGATGTTGGCTGGGGAGTTCTGGGAGTTGAAGTCCCCAAGTCTTTGTGGCCAAGGTTGTATAGTCCTAGTCTAGACCACTGTTCCTCAACCTTGAAGATATGGAAACTTCAACTCCCAGAATCCACTCATCTTAAAGGATCTTGGCTGGAGAATTCTGGGAGTTGAAGTCCCCAAGTCTTACAGTGGCCAAGGTTGGACACCCCTCGTCTAGACCAAGGCTTTTCAACCAGTGGTACATGTACCACCGGTGGTACATTGGCACCTGCCAGGTGGTATGTGACCCTGCCTAGCCTAGCCAAGTGTAACGGGGGGAGGGAACGAGTCAAAGCGGTGCAGCACAGAACATGTTGTGTAAGAGTCCTCAGGAACTACAGCAGTGGTTCTCAACCTTTTTAATGCCGCGACCCCCAACCGGTTGTAAGTCGAGGACTACTCAACCGGTCGTAAGTCGAGGACTACTCAACTGGTGCAGCACCGTTTGCAGAATGGGACTTTTGGCGGGCTCAGCAGGGCAGAGACAGCCTGGACAATTCCTACTGGCTTTGGAAAGCCAATAGAATTAGACTCTATTCAAGAGAATCTCTTCTATTGGCTTTCAAAAGCCAGTAGAATAAAAGGGAGTAGCACAGCTAAGGAAAAGGGGGAAAAAAATGGCGGACTGCGTTGTTTGGCGACCCCCGTGAAATGGTTGTTCGACCCCAAATGGGGTCCCGACCCACAGGTGGAGAACCACTGAACTACAGGGATGCTGGGACGAGACGAAGGCCCCAGGATCAGCACTTCTGGTACACCCGGAAGAGAAAGGTGGAAGAGGGTGGAGACAGGAGAGGCTATAAAATGAGGCAGTTTGAGTAGGAGAGGGGGAGGAAAAAAGACACCGCCGTGGGAGGAGGAGTCAGCTGGAGCTGCACTGAAGAGAAAAGGAGGAGGAGGGGGGGGGAGAGAGGAGAGGAGATACAACAGGGCGGCCGGGAGTCGATCTACAACTTCATGGCAGTCACCCGTGCCGGGCGTGCACACACAGATGGCCATGGAAACAGAGACTCTTTCCAAAGTCTCGACATCCTTTTTACATCGTGGTGACCAAAACGTGTGGTCTTCCCAAGGGCTACGTACCCTCTGGGGCAGCCAACTTTAGGGCTCCGTCCAGGAGGATCAGCAGAGTAAGGACAATCTTGGTACAGGAGGCTGTCATTTTTCTACAGCAGGCGTCCCGCGAGAGGAAGAGGCATCGTTGAAAAGTTTGGAGGTGCAACGTTCTGCAACAGAAAAGGAAATGTTAGGTGCATCAGCAACCGTGGCATGTTTGATATGCCTTCCTCCTCCTGTGTCTCCCACAACAACAACCCTGTGAGGTGTTTGGGCTGAGAGAGTGACTGGCCCAAGGACACCCATCCCATCCTGCCTCAGCCATGAAAGCCAGTTGAGTGTCTTTCTGTCTGTCCCTCTCATTCGTCTGTCTGTCTGTCTATTATCCATCTATCTATCTATCTATCTATCTATCTATCTATCTATCTATCTATCTATCTATCTATCATCTATCTATCTATCATCCATCTTTCTTTCTTTCTCTTTCTTTCTATCATCTATCTATCTATCTATCTATCTATCTCTCTATTTCTCTATCTATCTATCATCCATCTTTCTTTCTTTCTCTTTCTTTCTATCATCTCTCTCTCTCTCTCTCTCTCTATCTATCTATATCTATCATCCATTCATATCTCTTTCTCTAACTCTCTATCATCCAGTCATCCATCTATCTATCTATCTATCTATCTATCTATCTATCTATCTATCTATTTATCTATCTATCTATCATCCATTCATCTATCTCTCTCTCTATCATCCAGTCATCTATCTATCTATCTATCTATCTATCTATCTATCTATCTATCTATCTATCTATTTATCTATCTATCTATCATCCATTCATCTCTCTCTCTCTCTATCATCCAGTCATCTATCTATCTATCTATCTATCCATCCATCCATCCATCCATCCATCCATCCATCCATCCATCTATCTATCTATCTATCTATCTATCTATCTATCATCCATCTGTCTTTCTTTTTTCTATATCTATCTATCTATCTATCTATCTATCTATCTATCTATCTATCTATCTATCTATCTATCTATCTATCTATCTATCATCCATTCATCTATCTCTCTCTCTCTATCATCCAGTCATCTATCTATCTATCTATCTATCTATCTATCTATCTATCTATCTATCATCCATCTGTCTTTCTTTTTTCTATATCTATCTATCTATCTATCTATCTATCTATCTATCTATCTATCTATCTATCTATCATCCAGTCATCTATCTCTCTCTATCATCATCTATCTATCTATCTATCTGTCTCTGTCTGTCTGTCTATCTATCTATCTATCTATCTATCTATCTATCTATCTATCTATCTATCTATCTATCTATCATCCATCCATCCTTCTTTCTTTCTCTATCTATCTATCTATCTATCTATCTATCTATCTATCTATCATCCAGTCATCTATCTCTCTCTATCATCATCTATCTATCTATCTATCTGTCTCTGTCTGTCTGTCTATCTATCTGTCTATCTATCTATCTATCTATCTATCTATCTATCTATCTATCATCCATCCATCCTTCTTTCTTTATCTATCTATCTATCTATCTATCTATCTATCTATCTATCTATCTATCTATCTATCTATCTATCATCTATCTACTCACCTACCTACCTAGCTATCTATATCATCTCTCTCTCACTCTCGCTTTTTCTCAGCACTGTACAATAATCAGTCAAAACAACAACAACAATGCACACATAAAAACAAGCCTTTAAAAACACAAAAAGTCCACAGTGATTAGAAGTTAATTAAAACCAAATCGCGACGCCAAGAACTTCGGTTGAACTGCTGTGTCAGGCGCCCCAAGTCTCCCCGGGGCACGGATTCAAGTTCCCCTTGATGGCCAGGGGTGAAGTTAACCCAGGCGCACCCCTCCTGCGGTGGGGTCAGGGGGGGAGGGAAAGGCCGGGCTTCGGTTCCCATCGGTCGCCGTTGGGCGATGCTAGCCAGGCTTCCCTTGGGTGGGAGACCCTGACAGAGGTGAGGGAAGGAGAGGCCAAGTCTACTTACAGGTTTTGGACTTGCCCGCGGGGAGAGTCCCTTGCTTGGGGTTGGTCTCCTGAGAACTTTCAGAGAGATCCAAAGCCTCCAGCCGAGTGGATGGGCTGGGCAGGGGTCTTCTTGCTCTCCTTCCAGCCGTTTTCAACAGGGTGGACGGAGGCAAAAGAGAGTCAAAATGAATGCAAGTGGAGGAGGAGGAGGAGGAGGAGGAATGTTTGGCAAGGACTCCTTCTTTTATCCCCCAGACAAATGAAGGCTGTCAAGCTGGCTGTTTGAGGGCTCCTGGTTCCCCCCCCCCCAGGGAAGGAATGCAAACAAGGAGGGAGGGAGGGAGGGAAGAAAGGAAAGAGAGAGAGAGACAGAGAAAGAGAAATGGGGAGGGGGATACCTCTTGAGCAAAGCCCACCTCAGTCTAAGGAATGCCTCTTCAGGTTAAACTGCCCTGGAGGAAAGCCGCTGTCCCGGGTGAGGCCTAGAGAAGCATGGAATAAAAGAACAACAACCGTTGGAAGGGACCTTGGGAGGTCTTCTAGCCAGTCCTTGCTGAATCAGGAGATCCTACACTATTCTGGACAGATGGCTCTCCAATCTCTTAAAAAACCTCCAGTGATGGAGCACCCCCAACTTCCACCGGTTCATTGTTCTCACCGTCCGGGAAGTGTCTCCTTAGTTCCAGGTTGCTTCTCTCCTTGATGAGTTCCCCTCCCTTGCTTCTTGTCCTGCCTTCAGGGGCTTTGGAGAAGAGGTTCCTCCTTCCTTCTCAGAGACAAGGGGCCATCCCAAATAACTAACCTGGATTAACAAACTGTCTTGAGAGAGAGAGAGAGAGAGAGAGAGAGAGAGAGAGAGAGAGAGAGAGAGAGAGAGAGAGAGAGAGAGAGAGAGAGAGAGAGAGAGAGAGAGAGAGAGAGAGAGAGAGAGAGAGAGAGAGACTTAGCCAGGAGAAGGTTTAACCTGCAGACCTGGCTGGGAAGTTCACGGAGGACAGCTGGGTGGTCCACCTTTCCAAACCACACATCAATCCTCTGAAACCGGTCTAGAGTGGAAGGCCGACAGAAGCGCACATTCACATTCGGAAGGCAGGATAATTCTATGGGCAGTGGGGGGGGGGGGGAACAGAAGATGGATTAACTCAGGAAGCAGCGAACATCCGTTGGCCAGTGGTGAAGGAGGAAGAGGAGGAGGAAGGGAGGAGGGAGGGAGGGAAGGAAGGAGGAAAGAAGAGAGGGAGGAAAGGAAAGAAGGAAGGAAGGAGGGAGGGAGGGAGGAAAGAAGGAAGGAAG